TAAATACTTAAATTGAATTAATTTTGAAGAGCACTAAACACATGATATATGGTCTAGAATAATCCAGATAGGACTGTGCGCTCTATATGCTTTGTAGTTTTTTTATTATGTAGATATTTTGTTATATTGTTTATTTACTGCTAAAGTAATCAAAATATTAATAGTAATTAATATTAATCAAAGTTTAATAAACTTAATTACTAATAATATTATATGAAACTAATTTTATTAGACAATAAAATTTGTAAAGATTACAAGTTAATCTACAAAAAATTAACCAATTATAGCAAAAGCCTGCTATATTATCAGATATATATACAAAGTACGAAAAAGATATTTTTTGGCATTTACTATATAAAACTCTTCTATTGGATTATAGGCTACATTATATGACAGAAACAGCGAATAGGTGTTGTCCTTACTATAATCAAGTATTATTATTAGTAAGAAAATATGAAAGGTTATATATTTACTAATAAATTTTATACAAGATACAGCCTTTCTAACAACATTAGAAAATCTTTACTTAATTAGATGAACTAATAATAAAAAAAAGAGGATTACTATTTTGTAGTTGCACATTAACACAATATATGAAATTTGGTTTTGTTCTGTTCATATAGATGAAATAGAGAGAAAGCCAAATACTGAAACCAGTGCTTCTACATATCATTAAAAATCATATGAGTAAAAATATTAAAATTTTACATATGAATATCAAAATAGATAAGAATAATAGAGTAAATACTGTTAATTATTTTAAAACATAAATTTAATAGTTAAGTTAATAAAGATTGCTTTTATAGTATTCCATAGAGCTCTCATGGGTTAAAACCAAAAAAAAACTAATATAATAGAAAGAAATACTGCTAACTCTCCTCAAACTAATATGTCAGGTAGCCAAATTTTAATTAGTTTTGAGAGGATTATTGGTTTTAAAAAGAATTTATATAATAAAATAGAAAATCTTTAATCAGCTTTGACAGGTTATTAGTTTTTGACAGTATCAGTTTAGGGAGGTTCGACAGTATATAAAAAAAAATAAAATAACTATTTTTAGCAATTCTAGATTGAAGCATAAATGATAACATTTTTCTTATCTAGCAACAATAACTATTTTCGCCAGGAGGATTACAACAATAATCACAGTAGCCAACATATCTGGCTGTAGCACCATAACCTGGACAATACCAGAGAGAATCACCGCCACAGCCTAGTATAAAGAAAAAATATTAAATAGATGTGAAAAAAATAAAAACTCTATTACTTATTTACCTAATTCGTAGCCACAGTAATATCCATAGCCTTTACCTTGATAACATTTACAGGCAGAAATATTAGAAACTAGAAAGAATATAGTGAAGAACACTAATATGATATTCATAATCTTCATAATTGAAAACTGTCTTTGATTATTTTATGAATAATTGTTATAACTAATGATGAAATTTGGATCTACTTTAATATAAAATTCTTTCTTAGTTTTTATTTAGAATTAGACTAGGCATATATAATAAAGAGTATATGAGAGTGATTCAATAAAAACATACCAAATCTTTTTTAGTAAAAAATTTAAAGATTACTTGACAAAAATATATTGAAATTTAATAAAAAAATTTTTAAATAAACTCAAGATTTTTTAAAAATTTTATTAAATTTAAATTAAAGTTTCAAAAAAATTTATTTAGATTGACTCACCTCTATATATTATTTTTAGTAGAGTTTATATTTTAAATTGAGACGCTAAATTTTAAAATTGGTCTCAATAATAATTGTACAATTAGAGATAGTTAAGATAATCTAAAAATCTGTGTTGCACATCGACATTTCAAGTCAGGAAATTTACTAAATTGGAGGACATTTGAAGTCAGGCACCTTACAAAATTCAGCATAGTGAGCAATTCTCATAGCACAAACTTCCAAATTTGAAATTGGGGACTCAGTGTTTAATCTATCTAACGCTAATAAAAAATCTAGAATCATTAATAATATAAAATTAAGG